CCTGCGGGGAACTCTGCAAAAAACGCATCTTCGCACGGGCAGCCCGTGCGTTGGCCATTTATGGTGAGGTTGTGTTCATGCTCAAAACAATCCAGGCTACGTCAATATAACAAGGCACATAAAACATTCACAATTATATTACTTCCTAGCATAATTGTTTGCAAAATAAAACATATTTCAGTGAGTAAATGCCAGACAAATTGTAATAAAAACTGTTCTCGTTACGAAATGACTAATTATCTACCGTAATGTCTTACCGTACGCCCAACTGAACGGGCGTACTGTAAAGTGATAAGATAAGAAATAAGGAATTAAACCAGTTTCTGTCACCTTCCCTCTAAACTGAATCGATGAAGAGCATCTAGGTTAATTACGGAATTAATAGTGAAATAAAATAGCTTCAGTTACATGGAAACAGGATATATATCAACATCATTCATGTACTTCGTAGCTCACCGTAACAGTTTACCGAATAATCAGTTGCACAGATATACTGTAAATGACCAGTTAAAAAGTACTAATTATTCAACGACCTCAGTAGGTGAAAGTTAATATTCTAAAATGCACCTAACACAAATAACGAAAACCAAATATCCTACATTTTCATAAAATGACACCGTAGTACATATCAAACAACGGCATAATTAACCCTACAAAATCCGATAATTGTACTGCAAAGCGGTGTAGTAATGTAATCCATTACTGGAAAGGCAATTGATTAAACCACCAGTCAAGAAGTTGTAGCATAAAGTTATATTTGTGTTTACTGGAAGTGTAAAATTTAACAATTAGCACAAAAATACGATTATCTTAAAGATATAACTGAAAAGTAAAAAGTCGTAACTAGTTAAAATGGGCAGGAAAATGTAGGCTGAAATGATATGATTTATATTAGTAATTATTAAAATTAGTATGCGAAAAATATAATAGACATATAAATTACGAATAAATACACTATGAATGCTGGTATTCATGCAAAAGTGTATAAAATATAAATATAGAAAATAAGCCGTGAATATTAGTTTTCAAGTACATATGTGATCACGAGTACTGGTATTCAAATACAGTAGCGCTAATACAGTGTACCAAGATGACCAATATTCAAGTGAAGTAATGCTAACATTCAAGTACATATATAAGTCAAGGATACCAGGACTGTCCTGACAATCAGTGTGGGTATTCTATGTTAGTGATGTTACTAGAATGTTCTCGTATACAGGCAGCAGTAGCAGCTATGTTGTACAATATAAAATAAAATTTGAAAAAAATTTTTTTAATAAATTAACGTCAGCTGGACAGACGAATCTAATGAGTGGAAGATTTGCTTCCGATTCCTTCATCGGCAAGCGCCAGACCAGCTAGATTTTCGGCCACCCCATCGTCGTTGGCGGTGCTCGGTGGAAGTAATTCCGGTTCTTCATCAACCGGTGAAGTGAAATCAGTGGACGAGGAGACATGCATAAATCCATAGGTACTTCCTCGCTCCGACATATCTGTGGAACCATTCCAGGCTGAATCAGTGGTATGTGTGCTCTCACTGAACGAGGGCAACTGTTGATAATCGCTTTCCTCCCAAACAATAATGCTGAAAACAGTAACAGTTAAAGATATCGCTTTTAACTTGAATTTTTCTGGTCATTCCTATCACTCCTAACAGATGCATTATCTCACCGTACTCCGGAAATAGCAATGTTTTAGTGATGCTCTACAAACAACAAGGAAACCTCGGAAAAAGCTAAAGCCCTGAAAAAAGAAAGCTTTACTCCTTTCTGTTAGAAATGCTGATAACCCTTATAGGAAACAGAAAAAGCGTTAAAGTTGCCAGTAGGCTGGCCATCAGGTGATGCAGCATTGGTCAAAGCAATTGGAAAAGTTGCCAGCTTCATAGAGAGAGAGGACCAAACTGAACAAGTATCCGAAGTATTCGAGAAGAGTCCTCTCAAACACTTTTCTAGTGGTGTAGCTGAGTAAACGGATTCTCCTAAGTAATACCACC